GCTAAAAAGGCTGTTGCCATTTTTAGTCTGAAACGACCAGGGATAGGCCCTGAACTTCAGGCTTTCGGGCTGAGCCGACAGGGGGCCTGTAAGCCCTGGATTGCAGGCTTTCGGCTTGAAATTCAGGCTTTCGGCCTGAAGTTCAGGCTTTTGGCCTGAAAACCGTCGGGCCTGCAAAATAGCCGTCGGGCCTGCAAAATGGCCCGTGTGTGCACGCGCTGCATGTAACACCCCCCCCTCCTTATGAAGCGAAGTCGGGGCGAGGGCGAAGCCGTCGATCTGAAGGTGGAACCTGGACACGGGCGCGGCGTGGAGCCGAAGAAACCGGCTTGCCTTGCATCTTGCGTTCGTAAGGTGCGAGAACGTCTGGAGCTGTCGCTTGCAGTTCCGCACGGGTTAACCAACGGTCAGCTCGATGTGTGCAGTAGGCAAAATGCACCAAATACTCAGTTGGCTTGTTGCTGTAGCGTCGCTGGGAGATGATGTCGCTGACCTCTTGAAAACCATCCATAGAAGGTGGGTCTTGCGTACATCTCCCGGGAAAATCGTCATGTTCCATTGGCGTGTACAGAGCCAATTTGGAGCAATGAAAGACTGGGTAGACAGGCAAGTGGCTAGGCACCTGAATCGTGAAGGAAGGTCCTTCAGGTGCATCCCCAGCGGGCTCAATGATCGGCCAAGGCCCCATCCATTTCGGAAGGAGCTTGCGAGAGATGTCTTGTTCAAGGCTGAATTCCGCTGCTGAAACCCAGACGAGGTCCCTGACTCGGAATGGACAAGGAAGACGCTGGCGATTTGCCTGTTGGCTCGTGCGTTGTTGCGTCTTAGCCATCTGGTCGCGTGCCTTGACAAGAAGCTCTTGCATCCGACGCAAGAAAAGAAGATGGTCGTCGCTCTTGGTCGTGCGTGGAGTAATMGTGTCCAACGGTGAYGTGACMGGCGAKCCRTGCTCGAACTCGAAGGGCGATATCCCTATAGCCGGGTGGATGGAAGAGTTGTAGGCCAACTCRACGTCCGACAGTCGCTCAACCCAGTCTTTCTGGTCGGGGCGGATGAGAGTGCGAAGGAGAACCTGTGCGGTCTGATGCGCCCTCTCCGTCTGGCCATCGGTCTGAGGGTGGCGAGTTGAACTGGGCTTGAGAGATGAGCCCCATCGCTTGATGAGCGCCAACCAAAAATCGGACATGAACCGAGTGTCGCGGTCGCAGACGATCTCCTTGGGGTAACCCTTGGTGCGAATCCAACCGGCGTACAGAACCTCGGCCAACTCCGGTGCCTTGGCATGATCGCGACAAGGCAAAAACATGGCGAACTTGGTGAGTCGGTCGACCACCGTGAGAATCCCATCCACTCCGGTCTTGTGCTTGGGGAACGGGCCCGTGATGTCCATGGCAATCGCTTCCCTTCGCCTCAACGGGACTGGCAATGGTCGTAACTCGCCGTACGGACGATGGTTGCGGGATTTGCAGCGTCTTCAAACCTCACATGACTCGCAATAGCGGGTGACGTCGCCGAGAAGGCCGGGCCACCAAAATCACTGGCGAAGTCGGCCAATCGTGCGATTGACTCCAAAATGTCCAGTGGCGGGAGCATCGTGGAACTCGCCAAGAAGTCGTGTACGCAAGTGAGGATCACTCGGTACGCAAAGAAGGTCCTTCCCCCGTGTGTGGACAAGCAAGTACCCCTCTTGGATCCGATAGTGAGAAGGAGCCGGATTAGGAGAGGAGCAATTCGCGTACTTGTCGCGAAAATCGGGGTCGGCTTGGTAGCCGCCGATGAAACTGTTCCGCAGGTGGTCATCAATCTCGAAGGTCGAGTAGACTGCGGTACAATGATCCGGACACCGTGAGAGAGCATCCGCAAAACGGTTCGACTTCCTAGGAATGTGATTGGGAAAGAAATCGAACTGGTCGATGAAAGCCATCCATCAAGCGATGGTGCTGTTGACGGTGTCTTGGGTCTTGTAGAAGACCAACGGATTGTTGTCCGTTACCCAGCGAAATTGGCTTCGACCAAGGAGGAAGTGCCGCCACCGCTTGAGCGCGTGGAYGAAGGCGAGGAGCTCCTTCTTGYKTKCATYGTCAATGGAATGCACGAGTGGCACTTTCTTGCTGAAGTACTCGACCGGGTGCCAGTCCACACCATCATGTTGCTCGAGGACTGCACCAATGCCATAGCCTGACGCATCCATAGTGACACGTGTAGGCGCGAGCGGGTCGTATATCTGAAGACCTCCGCAGACAATAGCGCGGCTTTGAGAGCGAGGAATGATCCCTGCGCCTCCTCTCCAAAGTCAAACGGCCGATCCTCGCACTGAAGCTTGTTCAAGTGGGCCGCGATCTTGGAGTAGCCTTTGATGAAGCGYTGATAGTAGCCGGTAAGACCAAGGAACGAGCGAACATCCGTGACGTTCCGAGGCTCCGGCCACTCTTGGACGGCATGAATCTTGTCCGATAGCGGACTGATGCCGTCCGGTGTGACAAAATGGCCCAAGTATTCCAGCTCCAGCCGCACAAATTCACACTTCTCGTGGTTGGCCTTGTACTTGGCGCGGCGGAGCGTCTCCAACACTCGTCGAAGATGCCCCAGATGATCCTCCAATTTTCGACTTTGGATTGCTACCAATTTATAGAACCAACTGACAGAATCCAAGAACTGCGAAAAATATATCGGAACAGAAAGGACAAATATTCGGATTTATTCCGATGGAATATTCGCAGTTTGGAAAATAATATGTGCAGGAGGGATTTCCCGTACTGTTTTCAGAAAAACGAATTTCAGAGAGGAAAATATTCCGAATTTCTAAGTAACGGGAAATGCAACAGGAAATCGAAACTTTCGAAAAGAAAAATATTCTGGATTTTCAACAGCGAAATTTCGGATTTCCAGAAAGAAAAACAACAATAGGAATTTCAGATGTTGCGATATAGCGATTTTCAACAGCAGAATAGCGAGACAATAAAATCCGAGAAAAGAAAAAAAAAATTCGATTTTTGGTCGTAAGGTCAAGATCGTGATTTTGGGGTCTAACTAGTATGTCCTCATCAAACAGAAAAGACTAACTAGCTTCTTAGTCCCCGCACACGTGTTAGATCAGGTTGTCCTGATTCACGTGCAAAAGCTCCGATACCAACTGTTACATGCACAGATATGCAATGTATGCAATAAACTGAGAATCTGCAATGTGATGAAAAGGACTGAATAGACAATGCAGTA